CATGCTCCTCGTCTACGAACTACTCTCTCTCTCTCTCTCTCTCTCTCTCTCTCTCTGTTTTGCATCCCAATTTGCAGTCTAAAGAAAGAATGATATCTTGACCCAACAAGTGAGGATCGAACAAGAATAGCAGAAAGACCCTGACGCTCCCTGTCTTCTTTATGATCCACATCGAGGAAATAACAAAGCAACAATCCGAAATGATCACAAGATTCCAATCGTTCCCCTCTTCCAAGAACCTATCCACTATCAACATAAACAGAAAGTACGAAGCAACAATTTCTCGCTAATAGATCAAAAGAATCGTGCGTTTCTAGGATCAAATGACCCAACACCAACGAGAAATTGCGATAAGAACAAACTGATCATTCGAACGAACGTGAAGACAACGGGTTAAAAACCGGAATATAAGATCCTCGTAATCACGAGACGCCACACCTTCCGACGCCGTCGGCGAGATCTGCGGCGGCCTCCGATCAAGAGAACCGACGAAGCAGCTCCGATGTCGTTTAGGTGTTCGCTGCGCCCCCAAAACCCTTTTGGCATCCGAGATAGAAGCGAAGAGAGAATAGGCGGGAGAGATCGAGAGAGGGGGGATATGAATTCGAATCAGGCGCGAGCCAAATTTCTCGAGTATGATCACCGGCGCGTCAGCTTACCGCAAGGGTAGGAAGACTAATTGGAGTTCTGTTTTATGTTTTTTCGTTTAAAGAATCCTCATATTTAAAAGACTAATTCGCAAAACAAATAACTTATCGATTTCATGAATGACATTATGCGACTATATAACACAATTGAGGAAAATAGACATTGTTATTATTTTTGGTGTTTCAATAATTCATGAGAGATCTTTAATGCTTCTTTAGATATATAATAACGAAATATTATTTTCTTATTTACTGTAAATTAATATATTTCCAACTAAAAGAAAAGGTTATGTGATGGGAATCACAATGTCATCGCTGAATAACGTATATTTGAGTAAGGGTAAGCTCGTCGGCGAATGACGTATGGCGAGGCGTGAACTGTGTTAAAGCACGCAGGCACAAGGATCTACTGAAGCGGAGAACAGGCGTGGCGGCGCGGCGTGGCGCTGAGGCGGATCAGGCTTGAAATGGTGCTTCAGGCTGATGCTTTTGACGTAGATGCCTAGGGCGGAGAGGTGGCTGCCGGTGGAGCGACCGTGAAACCCACCGAAGTCAAGGCCGGAGTGGAAGTTGAAGCAAAAGGGAGTGCCTTCTTCCCTCCCGAACGGGCCGTAGTTCGTCCTGTTGGTGCCAAACTTCAGCGACCTGATCACCACCGCACCTCGCTGCTCCACCGGTCCGTAGTGGCCGCTGATGGACGTCAGGTACTCCCAGGGTTCGAAGCTGATCTGTAAACCACACAACGGGTACAGAAACAAGGAAGGAGAGAAATGAGCCGGGGGGGAAGGAGATCACTGACGCAGTCGAAGTAGTCGCCATCGCCACCGTGCCTGTGTGCGAGTGCTGCGGTGCCATTGATGTCGTATATGATTTGGATGGAGTTGATGGCGTTGCCATGGGTGACGAGGATCTGCTTTACGTTCCCGTAGCTCGATTCATCCCACTCCACGCTTCGGCTCACTACGTCCCCGCGCGGTCCGACCTTTACGACGATCTCCTCGTTCACAATATTGCTCTGTTTTCTCCCCCCCACCCACAAACAATAAAGCTCTCAAACATCAAAAGAAAAATAGCAATCTTTTCTTTTGTCATTGTGGATTGATTACGTACCATTGTGATCTCTATCGAAGCAAGACACAACCTTTGAATCAGTATCTGCCTGCTGCTGGGGATGAACAAAAACAAAAACAAAATCCTCCTCCATAAATAGAGGTAGGAGTCGCACTGTTTCTGTATTCTTCCCTTTGGAGATTTGGACTGAGAGTCCTTTACGTGGGAAGGTTGCCATGCAATGCATACGTCCTACGGAGTTCCTTGTGCCTTCCCCTGATCTTGAGGTTTCCTCTCCCTTTTAATCGACCCAACGATTCTATGGTTCTCCGAGGAAGCAATTAAATATTTCAGCATCTCTCTCTCTCTCTCTCTCTCTCTCTCTCTCTCTCTCTCTCTCTCCAATTCTATGCCAATCACGAGCATCAACAATATAGATGTGAGGACCCAACATGGAACCCCTAAACAAAATCTAGGATGAATGATGGAGACATTTGTATTAAGTAATTGAATCCATTTCTCATAGGAACAAAGCCAGACTTGTCAGTCACCTTCTTCTCAAACTAAATAATCATATCTTCGATAGTTGGCCCAGCTTTTAATTTTTCTCCAACCTGCATCTCGGATTCAGGAAGGTGAGAAGTCTACCTCTTGTGCCCCATCGTATAATATTATTATTATACAGATAGATGCATTATAAGATGGAACATTATGTTAATCTTTAGCGGTTGGCATATTATTGTCTCTACTATGATATAATAAGGTCTGCACCCATTTGGGGCGATCTAAAGACGGGGGACAGTATCGAGTAATCCCGATACGTGATGTTAATTGCATTGTCCAGTATGGAGCCCTATCAGCGTCTCATTTTTAATTTCTCTAACCCATCTAAATGTTACAGTGTATATATAACCATTATGTTAATCACAACTTGTGCATGTAACCTATGGAGTTAGGAAGGGCCATTGACATAGCTCAAGTCAAGAGGATTAAGTGTAACCAATAGGGCGTATAGTACCAATTTTAGCTTTGATTAATGGCCTGTTGATGAATTTGTGCATAGAATTCTATTGTTCTTGGCATCAATCTGATATCACACCAGAAACCAGCTGAACACATTGTTAGGAGGGTGGAAAAGTTGATGGTTGGTTGCTTGCACCAAAGAAAAGTGCAGACTCATATAATGCAAGACCTTAGATGATCTTAAAGCCATCTCTGTGAAGTCTCATCACAGCCTTCAAAGACTTTTCTAATGGTCAGTACAGAAAGGGCATGCTGTAGCAGTTGGAACATCAGTAGCTACTCCATTAAATTAATGTTTATATCTTAAGTTTGGATCTCTTGGGAGGAATTTGGTAACATTTCTTGAGAAGAAGAAATAGCAGGTTGCAAGTATGCAGCTTCAAAGCAGGAAAAGAGATGAAAGCACTGTGAATCCTTGCAATCAAAACAAGTTACTGCTGTTCTTTTCTTCTGTAAACCCAAGAAGAACCATGTTTGACCAGTAAAAAACAAGAATCTGCTACCTCAAAACACAAACTAAGCTCTTAAACAGCCCTTCCCTCCCTTTCATGAAAGAAAAGCCTTTGATCTTGGCACATAAACTAAGACTAGAATGTCTAATTGATCCAACATCTGTACATATTTAGTTCTTGTTAGCTGTTGGTTGGCCAACACTTGTGAGGATCACATGAAGGCATCCAAAGGCAGCTTGGTTTTACTTGAATAAAGTAGAGATTGATGATTGATCATGAAACATTTCATTTTTGTTGCTTAGTTTATATGTTGGACTCCTCGTTACTCGGATCAGACATGGGTGAGGGGGATAAGAACAACATTAAAGAGTGCTGAGAGATGCTAAGGCACATGATTCATGGTATTAAAGTCATGACCACTAATCTGTCAGAAATAATGAACCATGATCCATCATCACAACAGGAACTGCTCACCATCTCCTTTTCTGCATAGCGAGAGAGAGAGAGAGAGAGAGAGAGAGAGAGAGAGAGAGAGAGAGTTTATGATGAGAAAGGGATTTGGTTAGACTTTGTGACATGCTGCTCTATAGATACTTTTATCAGCTCATAAAGGTAATGGATAGTAAAGATTCACCAATAGCACATCCTAATTAGGTGAAGAGAAGTACAACCTTATGGCATGAAGAAAAAAGTGGATAGAAGCTAAGCACTTATTTTTTTATGTCGGGGAAGTCTCTTTCTCCCATTCTTTTGACGCTGATACTTCTTCTTCTTCTTCTTATTCTTCTTCTTCTTCTATTATTATTATTTTGCCTCCAAGACATGTCCCTTATCTTCTCATTTCCCCCTCATAGTGCTCATTAGCTCTTTCTCTCTCTCTCTCCCTCCCTCTCTGGATATAAGTTAGATCTACCTATCTATATCTCTGTCAGCTATATTCTTCTATCCGTAGGCAACATGAGCCAAGCAGTTAAAGATCAGCCAGCTTCGTTGACATCGAGCAAGGATTCGCATGTGATATCGAAGCTGAAACGCAAGATCAGAATCGTGCACATAGTCACGCCGGAGATCATAAAGACCGACGTCGACAACTTCCGGGAGCTGGTGCAACGACTCACGGGGAAGGCCGCCACGGGAACAGGCAGCAAGAAGCAGGCTACACCGGTGGCCGCGATCGGTGCACAGGAGGATGTCAAGGAAGAACTCGTGGAGGAGGAAGACGGCGGCGAGTGGTGGAAGGAGGGCGTCTCCGGAGGACCCTTGGGAGACACGGGTTTGATCTTCCAGGACTTGATCGATTTCCCGTTGCTTTCACATGAATGACCGATGTATGAGGAGGGGTTCATGTTTTGCTTGCTTACGAGGAAGACTGCCGAGTCCTTGTCGTCTTTCTTTCTTCATCTATCTTCTTATTTTTGGTTTGATTTTTTGAGTTCTCGGAGGATGGATCGGAATTGCAGCTGGGTTTGAGTCAACGTGGATCTCTTAGCTTGATAATGGACGTGGGAATTTTTCTTGTTTCCTAGACTTTATAGCCACCTTGTAAATAAACGATACCAAAGGTCATAAAATATGTAGCATTTGCTAGCATATTTTGTCTGTCTGTGTGTAGCTCTACAGAGAATTGCAGGGAAATCTTTGGCTTAGGGAACTCTAAATATGAATTTACATAGAAGCTCGAATAAAATACTACACTGGAGAAGGTTTTGCCCCTTTTTTTTTTTTGTTGGACTATGTGAACAATGCTCTTTCGAATACTTGGATCACCTTTTACTTGCGTATGGCTGCAACACTGTTGTGAATTGTGGTAAAAGAAATGGAACGAGAAACATTTTTTAAGCGTCCTGTAGGTTGAATGTAAAAAGATACAATGATACAGACATTCCGATATGCTAACCACAAAATACGGGCGAGAGACTGGCATATATATATAGGTGATAAATATGAACCATCATTGACTCTTTGCACCGCCTTATCTTTTATATATATATATATATATATAGTAGTACGAACCAAGGGATCATTCTGAATTAAACGAGAGAATTGATGATAATATATATATTGGTCTGACTTGAGGAAGTGGCTTCCTAATGTTCCTAAGCCATGGTGGATGATACACGGGCACTAAGTACTTGAATTAGATGGCTTCTGCACACGCTACTACTGTTGCCGCTTCACAAAACAAAAAGTTGGCCGCGTGGGGTGTGGTCACGTCACAGAAGCAATGGGATCGACTCATCTAAATATGGTCACAGGGATCACCACATGCTGCAAGAACTTCGTACAATAGATTCTCTTTTCAATCAAATGCTTCCTCCACCGGCAGCGACTTCACATGTACGATACATCGGAATTGATCCGCGAGTATCCAGAAAACTAGCATTATTTAACTCGAGTCATGCAAATCTGCCAGCAACAAGCACGACTTTTCAACACATTAATCAAACGGGCTGTAAGAAAAAAAAGTGTCATTAACTGCATAAATACAACTCAAAATATGAGAAATGTCTCTAAATTTATGAGAGACTCCATAAGATGGATGATAAGATAAAAAGAAGGCATGATGGCAAGGAAAGAAGGTACAATTTCTTCATGCAGCAGACTTGCGAAGCTCACTTGCCCCATGAGCGAAGTGGCAACGATCACCAAAAGTGCATGCTCCTTTGCCAAAGTTCTCACACAACTTGGTTTTATAGTTGCTTCCAGGGCCAGCCGATGCTGCAGGAGCTGGATTCCTGGCTGCTATTCCAGTGCTGGAACTAATATTAACAATTAGTTCTCTAACCATTGCACTAGCCTGCTTGATCTGGTCAAAAGATCCCTCCAGTTCAATGTTCCTCAGATTCGGGTCTGACTCGTGATCTCGGATGGACAGCTTTGCACCAGTCATTCGGCAAATCTGTTTCGTGTTAACCCCACCTTTACCAATTATAGCGCCTGCAAGGGATGCATCCACACTAATCTTTGCGGTGGCAGAGGCTCCAAAGCTAGCAGCAGCTGCATCCACACCTGCAGGGGGAGGCAGCTCAAATCGGCCTCCTAGTCGTCCCCCCATTGACGGTGCCATTGGACCATCCAAAGAAGATAAGATGGGCTTGCCGAGCTCCCGCTCGCCATGAGCAAAATGACATTTCTCTCCAAATTTGCAGCCTTCAGCTGTGTTGTACTTGTTGCATATACGGGTCTTCACGGGGGGTACAGGAGCACCATCATGAATGGCAGGATGAGCCACTGGATTCCTCGATGGAGGTCCAAGTGCTGGATTCCCTAAGTTGGTCATCTGTGCAACAGCCTGAAGGCCACCAGGAACATAGTGGAGAAAATGACAACCCTCTCCAAATGGGCAACCAGCAGTGCTGCAGAGTAGCAACTCGTACATCAGGGTTGCATATAAAAATAACTGAAAGCCATAAACAATGAAAATAAATAAAAAAAATGCACGTTTTAATAGGACAAGATTTTTACACAAAATCAACTTCCAACATGACAAAAAAAGGAATGGGACCGTCCAATGGACAGAGGCTCCAACCAATATGTCGTTAGGGTTAGGATCATTGCAAGCAATCTTACCTCCGCAAGTACAAAGGTTGTTTCCTTGGTAACCACAAAAAAAAATGTCTCCAAATTTATGAAACATAGCCAATAGTAATATTTAAAATAATTAAGTTACAGATTGAAGTTCGATGATAAGACACTTGAGGTCATTTCCCATTTTACACCACATCAAATTTACTGCAACAACCACCCCCTAAAACAGTAGCCTCAAAGCTAAGATGAAATAACTAAACAGATAAAAAACATCAGGCATCGTATACTGAAATAATACTGTCAACAACATGACTATTTAAAGAAAGCTCTTCAGCATGTGAAAAATACACAAAAACCAAGGAAAACATACCATTTTAGTCTCAAAAAATGCAAAATTATATGATTTTGAAGGATGCTATGTGGAACAAATTAGAGTCATGAATGGCCACCAAAAAAGCACTATCTATAGAGTACAAGAATGTGACAGAGGACAACAAACAAGACATTACCAAGTATACCAAGAAACACCCACTGCCACCAGTTTACGTGGTTTAAAGTTTTCTTCACATAATACCATGCCAAGTGTCAATTCCACAAAGTAGCCAAAGAAATGCTCCTCATGAAAAATTTCATCAAAGGCCACCCAGTCAACCATATGCCAATTTATTGCACATTAGTCAAACAAATTCACAGTTTGACAAATGTGAATAACAAGTTCATTTTCATCCTTTTACTATATCTGCTTATTAGATAAAAACTACTTGTTCAAATATGATAATATTAAAGTGTGCTATTCACAACTGGGATTTAGGTTGTCAAATGAGTCAAGATGGTTCCATAAATGATGCCATCTTTAATGGAAACACAATGTCATGCATATAAAAATGTTCCATTGCATTTCCCTTGAACAACTGGAAGGAGTGGTCTGGCATTACAGTGCAATCTTGCCTTCTTAGAAGATTTGTAAATGATGTCACACTATTGTCATCTACATGCTCGATAAACATAAAAAACATATTTCTTAACAATTTGTGTACTTGATGGTCCATCTAAACTTTCTTTTTACACTGCAAATAAGAAAAACAAGAAGATCCCTACAACATCAATGACAAACAATGTGCACAAATATTATCTTTTGACAAGATAATACTGTTTTGAAAAAACTCAGGATTAATCCAATAAAAACATCAATTACAAACAAAACTCAACTTGCTAAGACAAATAGCAAACAATAGCATATAAGTAACCAAGTAACTGGAAGTAACCAGCTGAATCAATAATCAATCATATTTATCTTGATTTATGGTTGCTATGATGTTGAGGATTTTGATAACCAAAGAGCTCTTGTGAATTCCAATTTACGCTGTTCAGTGTTGTTAACTTGATTAGAGCACATAAACCTGTATCACAATCTTAAATGACTGATAGATTAGCAACAAAAACACTGGTCCATAAAGTATAAAAATTTTAATTCAATTTTCATATACAGTTGCAGAAACAAAAGTTGCTATAGGATGTTGATTTTAGATGAGTTAGGATTAGAACCTGAAAAACTTGGTGCATGGCTTCGATTTGCTTCCTATACCAGATTGGAAAGAGTCCGTTTCTGTATAACATTAATTACGTGTTCTCAGTTAAGTTCTGCTCATTTACTATTAATAGTTCAAGTACACATTAAACAACCTACTACCTTTGATAAAATTTTAGCAATAAAATTTTCATTTACAATAGAAAGTCAGATCAACGCTATAATGACAAACTGGTGATCCATGATGACTATTACCAGAGATTTATCATCTGTAGAAAATCATAACAAGACATATTCATTCATTAAGCAATAATTGAGACTAACTGCAATTTAATTGAGGTATAGCAGCACAGTGGAATTATCTTTAAATAATGATGCAACAAGATGGTAGTGAATTAAAAACTTAAAACATTCATGATCTTTATAATCATTGGAATTTCTGCATGACATCCAAGCTCTTAGACCCAGCACCTTCTTTTAAGTTGATCAAAATATAAAGGAAGCTACAAAAGATCAGTGGTTTATTTAAATAGGTGCCCGGGCACTCGCCTAGGCGCTCGAGTGAGGCGAGGCGAGGCCCGAGCACCTCAAGTGTCAACCAGGCAACATGCTTCAGTGAAGTGCCGCCTGAGCACTTGACTAAACCTAGGCGTCGGACACCTTGGGCGAACGCTCAGTTCAAATGAAGCAACCTGACCAAACTTTTGAAGTTTGGTTCAGTTGAACAGTACGATTGAACCAACTAGCAACTTTCTTTTACAGCACCCATAAAACCCACCCTCCGCACCCCCACACGGCCCCGAGCAATCAACCCTAGTGTAGCTTCTGCCTCCACCGCCAATGCTTCCTCTGCCCCTGCCTCCGCCGCAGACGCACAAGACCAAGGCTTCCTCTGTCACTGACGAACGAGTCTGACAACCTAGCCTTCATGCGCAATTCTCTTTCATCATCGTTGCTTCCGTGTGCAGCTCCTTCCACCGTCGAGGGAGAGGATCGCAACTTCCTCCACCACCGATAGACACCTTTGAAGCTTCCTCCGCCCACAACGTCGTCAATCGCAGCTTCCACAGTTGTCGCTACTGTCGTCCACAAGTTCCTTCGCCACTGTTGCTATCATCCATCGCTTCCTCCGCCGATGTTGCTACCGTTCGGAACTTCTTCCACCGCACTGGCGTCTAAAAGTTCCTCCATCACCGCAACCCTCTCCTTCCCCACTTTCCACTGTCAGTGACTCTTTTCTCTCTCTTTAACTATTGTTAATAATATTTTAATTTATATAATCATATTTATAAATTATATTAATTTTTATATTTTAATATTTTAAAGCATCTCGCTTCGCTTGGGCTCGAGCATTTTGAGACCTTGGTGCCTTTTGGCACCAAGCGCTTTCCAAATCACTGCAAAAGATACCCAACTAAAGCTATTTAAGCTAGTTAAAATCTTTGTGTCATACTGTCATTTAGAGGCTGAAACAAAAAATAAGGACATCTACTTTGAGACAGAAGAAACTTTGATAATAAAACTGGCAGTTATGATAATAAGCTACATGTCTCTCTATCAAACTTTTCAGCAATACATATTGCATATTGAGGTAAATAAAATTTAAGAAGAGCAAAACATCTGTACATGTTTTTATTTTTGTGTGTAGGACACTTGGGAAGGTAACTGAGTCGTGATAAAGGAATATTGGCTCACAAATAAAATTAAGCAACATGTAGCTTTTCGAAGCTAAAAGAGCCATCTGATACTCCAAATCACTGCAAAAGATACGCAACTAAAGCTATTTAAGCTAGTTAAAATCTTTGTGTCATACTGTCATTTAGAGACTGAAACAAAAAATAAGGACATCTACTTTTGAGACAGAAGAAACTTTGATAATAAAACTGGCAGTTATGATAATAAGCTACATGTCTCTCTATCAAACTTTTCAGCAATACATATTGCATATTGAGGTAAATAAAATTTAAGAAGAGCAAAACATCTGTACATGTTTTTTTTTTTTTGTGTGTAGGACACTTGGGAAGGTAACTGCGTCGTGATAAAGGAATATTGGCTCACAAATAAAATTAAGCAACATGTAGCTTTTCGAAGCTAAAAGAGCCCTCTGCTACAACACCAGAACAACAACATCAATAACTTTCTCTCAATGAAATTATCTAATAAAATGCATCTGAAGTCTTAATCAGACACTAAACAAATCAAACAGAACCATACACCTTAAAACCACGGAAGCCCTTCTGAATCAGTGAAGAACATAACTATCAAGTAATATAATAATTTTATGACAGCGAAAAAAAGGTGAAAACTACACTTCTTGAAAAAAATTATAACCTTAAATACCATTTAGCTCAAAATAAACACGAGACTAAATAAACAATAATATTTGCATGAACAAGAGAAATCTCAAACAATCAAAGGCGACAGTGAACCCACGCTTTCCCTCTCCGAAATCTAGAGGCTACACTAAAGCATGGCATAGTGCATATAAGAACCTCGGCAATCCGAAAAAGGAAAAGGAGAAGAGAAACGGAGAATAGCAGGTAATAGATTTTAATCCAACCTCTGAGCCGCTTCGAGCCAGCGCCGCCCCCATTAGCCACCTCCGGCCTCCCTCTCTTGCGAGCGGCTTCCATTGCGACCACCAGACGATCCGGATCACCGAGCGGGTGGTGACTATCAGACGAAGGACAGATCGAGAGAGGAAGATAAGAGTGGAGAAATCTATATCGACCGAAACCCTAGCTAGGGTTTGGAGACCGCAAGAGAGAGGAGCGGGGACGGCCGAGCCACCTCGAAAAGACGCGAAACGCCGTAGCAAATACCTATTTATAACAAATGGAGAAACGGAGGACTCGAACCGTCGGATGTTAAACGAATTCAATTTCTGATGCAGTGGGTTTGAAGTCCGCGCCGCAAATGGCGAGGCCTACTCGACATGACGTGAGACCACGTGCCCGTGGTCGGTGACACGTCTTTGATGGGCTCTGTCACGTGAGACCAAAAATACAATAGGCTTCCGGCCCATTAGACTCTAACATACTAATGGGCCATTTTTACGTAGGTTTACAATATATTACATATAGACATATAAACATATGCGTAGGGATTTCGGATCAGCTATATTCGATCCCAATTTATGTTATTCATTTTATCTCAGGCTTTTACGATGGAGTAATAATCCCATAAGAACGATGAATTTATATTTTTTTGTTATTTTTGTGTGAATTGATGAATAATTATATTTAAATTTGACATGTTTTTAATATTATGTACTCTAGAGCTAATGAAGTTTACATATGATTGCAATGAAAATGAGGCAATTGTTGCAAATAGAGGAATCAAAATCATTGATAGAGGGGTAGTAAAGAAATAAGGATGAGAGAGAAAGAAAAAAAAAAAAGAGGAGTGGAGACGGTAGATTGATAGTGAGGGAGATACGGTGAAAAGTGAAGATTACAATGAGAGGCCATAAGAAGTGAGGTCACAAATGGAGATGAGATGGTGATTAGAAGGTAACCGAAAGGTAGAGATTGAGAGGTGAGTATGCATGAATCGGGAGAACCTCATTAATCAATGATATATTTGATCTTTGCATAGTATCAAAAGTGAAGATAATAGTTCCTATCCACATGTTTACCTATGTGAATAAGGGTCTAAGGTAAGAGGCGCAAGTTAGAATATGTCTGAGGCATATAAGTTGAGAAAACTTGATCTATGTAAGAAGAAACTCATCACAATGAGAGGTACAAGGTAGAATATGTCTAAAATATATGAGTTGAAGAAACCTGACTCATGTAAGAGAAAACTCATGATAATATGATGTATAGGATAAAATGTACCTAATGTGCATGAGTTGGAAAAACTTAACCCACGTAAGAAAAAATCTATCATGGTCGATGGAACAAAATAAAATATATTCGAGGTACATGAGTCGAAGAAACTTGACCCGTGTAAAAGAAAATCTACTACGACGAGAGGTATAAAGAAAAATATATTTGAGACACGTGAGTTAAGAAAATCGTCACGACAAGAAACACGAGATTGAATGTGTTAGGGCTCGAGAATCGAAAAAATTATAACCTCACGATAAAAAACTCACCATAGCAGGAAGCATAAGGAAAAATGTATCTAAAGTACATGAGTCGAAAAAAAGAGACATGTATATGAGTAAATCCATTATAACGGAAGACACAAGAAATAATGCCTAAAGTATAAAGGTCAAGTGGTGACCACTCCATTACTTGAGATGGGTAAGCCATTGCCTAATATAACTCATCAACTTGTTGGCCCATATAAAAAAAATAAAGAAGAATGCACCATTAGAAGAAACAATGCCTCTTCACCTGAGGTGGGTCCCTCAATGATGAGAATCTTTGTAGTCTACTTCTATCCCTCGCTTATGATCCTCACCATAACCCACGTCACCACTGAGGTAGGGACATCAAGAAATCTAACTCTCTTTTTTTGCTTGAAGTAAGGAGCTTAAGCACCCGACCCTCCCTTTTCGTCGCCATTGAGCCATGGACGTCAAGAACCAACTCCCTGCTTTCTTTACCACCAAGCCACGAAGATTGGGAGATTGACACCCATCATTGCTTACCTCCATGCCCAGAGGGTCAGGCTCACATTGACAAGAATTGATATGTTATTAAGGAGAGCCTATCGGGGAGTAGCAACCCCTCGCTGAAATTAGGAGGTCAAGCACCTTAACCCTCCTTAGTACCAAGGTATATAAGTTGGGTGTCCCGACTCTCTCACTCTCGAAGAGTGCCCATTGGCGAGGAACAATCTCTTGGAGAGATGGAGATCGTCAATTCAAGGCACGAGTCAGACGCCCCTAACCCGTCAGTGTCCGTCTAATGGGCATTGTTGGAGAACCAATCGAAGAGACATAAGCTTAATGTGTCAAATAAACTAGATGTTACACTTGGCCAAATGGTCCTAAGCAGGCTAGTGTCCAGGTTGGAAGGAAAAGATAAATGATAGAGAGAACATCATTAATCAATCATTATCAGGCATATGGCCTTCGTATGATGTCCAGACTATAATAAGAAGACAAAGGCCACCCTTTGTTCATGTGGACAAAGGATCAAAGGCAAACGATTGTAGGTTGTCCCCCCTTATCAACCGCGTGGATAAAAGGTTAATGGGAGGTTGTTAGATGCAATCAAAGGCTCCCCCCTTATAAAATATTTTATGAAATATTTAATCTGTTTACAACAAAGTATAAAAATTTTTTGATCACTCATGTCCATACTCACTCGGGTTACTAACTTATCAAGAATTCGATATTTGATTGAATAGAGAAACCTTTCCCGACCTTAGTTTTCATGCAGGTAGCATATCAAGAATTCAACATTTTCACTTTGAAGACATTTCAAACAATCCTACATACGTCCGAATCATGTCACCAATACGTTAACGATTTCTTTTGATAACAATAACGAAGAAAGAAAGGGAAAAGATCATATCTAAAATAATAAGAATATATTCCTTCTACAATCATAATTAAGATTACTGTAGTAAGTAATTCATAAAAGTAATAATAAATTTATTTATTTTTACTATTGACAATTCCTCAGTTTTGACGGTCTATATATTATCGATTTCATTTTGTTCATAATTTCTTATTTTATTCTCATTGTTCGACGTTGTTCTGTAATAATAATCTGCAACGTGAGAGCTCTGCCGGTTAACTTTGCGGGGCCGAGTCGTCCCTGACGTCGGCAACGCACCGTTCCCTCTGCGTCGTTATCTTTACTGTCCCTCGTCTCCGTCGTCCTAACGTCCGCTTCCACGCCACCGTCGCTTTCCACCCACCCTACACGCCCAACACAACCGAAGAAGGATATCCTCCCCCTTCCTCTCTCTCTCTCTCTCTCTCTCTCTGGGGATCCAATGGAACCCCCACTCGGTGAATCTTTCGGAAGGGGTTTGTTGTTGCTCAATCGAATCGGAGAACCCAATCGAGAATGAACTCATCAGGTGCGCCCCTCTTTCTCTTCCGCTCCGCGATCGTTTTTACGGGGCCTTTTATCTTTTGTGCAGCGATGGTTCGCCTAATCAGTCCACCTCTCTCCGATCGCCGCTGTTGATTGTTTTTCGCATCGCGAAACAATTTCTCTCATCGAATTACATTCTAGATCTTGGTTATAAAACAGAACAATTCTTCTTCTCTTCTGCTGGGATTAGATTTCTGGTAGAGACCCACTAGTTGATCGTGGGAACATGTGGATTAGGGTTTTACTTTGGCCTCGTCAATTTGGGATGGGATAGGCTCATGGGATTGCGTATTCGTGCTGGACCTTCGCTTTTCCAGTCAATCTAGGCTTTGAACTAACTTGTAATTTGATCCGAGCAGGTTTCCACAGTAGAGTGTTGCATCAGATGATCTGATCCTCCTGAATAGCTGAAGGTAAATTTGAAGCTTCCTTTGCGTTATGTTCTTCCCAAAGAGAAGTAGCTTTGCAATGTTATTGCTGGTAGTGATTGGTAAGGGGCCAATTAAAAGCATCTTCTAGGATTGGGGATTGGATGCTTAGTTTTCTGCTTACTTGACTCCACTTTTTTCTATTGTTTTACTTGGTTAGAAACACATTTGTTTATGTTGTTGTCATCCGATAAACTCAATATTAAAAGATTTGAATACTTAGAATTCATGTTCCTTTTCAAGATTTTATTGGCATTGAAATACAATGATGTTGGCTTCATCTTTTTGAATAGTTTCTTTGTTTTTGTTCTACTTCTTTCCATCTATTACCAATCATTCACATTAGAAAAACAAATTGATCTGTTAAATCGATATTCCACTTCTTGTTTCTTGTAAAAGAAATCGTGGTAAATTCATTTGATCGTATCGTGAGATGGACAAGAAGATTGATGGAGGCCTAACATAAAAGAGTCAAGTAAAATCATTGTGTGTGTGTGTATGTGAACCTCATCAACATAGAAAGGTTAGATACCGGGGTGGGTTGCTCATATGTACATATCCCATATACCTCTAGAGAAGTATTGTGCCACATTTTCCTCATTTTATTGTGCAATGGAGAAACATAGGTTTAATCATATAGTGCAATCTGACCTTTGTTGGTAGAGACTCATTCTTAGGAAAGAAGTTTAGCCACTAGTAGTGGAGTGGAGCGCTTACTACGATAGCAGAGTGGGTAAGTATTTCTTCGTCATTCATTAGAAGTCTGTTTTAATTTATGGGGTATTTTTTTTATTGTGTCAGTAATGTCGCCCTTCGATCTCACTGCAAGTTTGTCTAAGATATTTAAGGCAAAAGTCATGCGAGGTGACCTTTGGTTGGTTTAGGCATTTAACTCGTTCCTTTTATCTTTGATTACTACTTGCGCTTTAGTTTCTCCCTTACTAGAATAATTAACTGCTAAGAGAATTTTGTTGCAAAAGCATTTCATCTTTAAACTTGAGTCTCTTTATCATTGTGGTGTTTATCCAGCTCTTGAGAGAGAGAGAGTTTTCTATATGTCAATTCTTTGGTCAGGAAGTTTCTTGGCCTTGCTTGTTTTAGCGGCTCATAATTCCTTTTCCTTTGTACTGTAACAGTGTTGTTTGTTTTCTTTAACTTCATATATCTATATTTATGTGCACCTTTTCTTGCTAAAATCTGTTCATGCTAAACCCGACGTCTAGACTCTGAAACTATCCTTGCTGATCCAACCGATCCAATTCGATTCTGATCTTTTGCTGAAGGGCCGATCTTTAAAACCTAGGAATGCATTTTGAGGTGGAAGGTGTTGACTGTATCCATTGTAGCCGCCCATGTTTTAAGTTCAGAGTTTGATTGTAGTCTGGTACTTGATGCTGTGCTCACTGTATGTTTATTTTGATTGGTTTTTACACTTCATGGATGTTCTTGGATCTTAAGACGAGTACCATATTATAATGCTTTGTGTACTGAGTGCTACAAAATCTACGTTTGATCAGTCACCTGTGGGTTCAAAATGGATGTCATGTAATCCCTGATACATATATAATTTAAAAGAAATAGGAAGCGAGTACAAAACACTCCCGTAGTTTAATCATTTGTTGAATTTTGCAGGTTCTAATGCTACTTAAGATTCTTCTGACGGCCACAGCAACTACTGCAGGAAACAAAGTTTGTTTTGTGAGTGACGAAGAAGATTTACGGAGAGCTTCACTACTGCTGCTAAAAGGGAGTTTGTTATATAATCTGATAAGAGTTACACTTAGAAAGAACACACACATTCATTCGACCCTTACGAGGATGTTAATAATCGGCAACCGTTCTAAAAGCATTTACAAGGAGAGGCACGTTCCTACATTCCTCCTTAGCATGCTTTCCTTGAGACGAGCTTACAGTTAAGTTGCCAGCGATCAATATCTTGCGAAAGAGACTGCAATTTTCCACACACCAAATGGCATATGGAATCTATGTGTCATCATCGTCACCGTGTCCAACCAAACGGTCGCCATCAGAACCTTCTCTACCTCCACCGGCAGTCACGTCATCGCCACGGTACTTATCTGCTTGCTGGTTCCCACCGTACTGCCGCCGGTTTCCCCATCCCATGGATTGCTGGTGCGGGAATTGGTGCTCGCCCTCTTCTGCCAACAAAAAGAGAGGGCATGTTGTTAGCCTCCGTCGCCCAGTTGTAAGGATCTAAAAGAATCCAGAGTATATAACTTGACTTCTTAATTGAGCTTATCAAAAGTTGCCAATTAGCAAACAAACAGAAACCAAAGGACGCCCGGTTCTACAGGAAAGGAAAGAAAGACATCATGGTGGAATTCTCTTGATTTGGTAATTGCTGCGGCGGAGGCAAAAAGACAGACAACGGTAAGCAGTGATTACCAACCAGCCTATTATATTGAGCGGATAACAGATTCAACTGGTTCTGCTTTGTCACATGCAAAGCTTTGATGACACATGGGGAATATTATAGATGGAGAAGAGACTTTTTAGAATCGGAGGATCTCATGCACAACATGAATGGAGAATCGAGCTACATGTATTTACCACTCTCACCATCAGATGCATCAGCAAGCATTGCAATAGCATCAATCAGTGATTGTTCATGCTCCTGCAAAGATGGGGCACCTCAATGTTATTTCAGACAAACACATTGATGCTGAATAAAGGAGCGAGGTGGCATGTTTTCCCTACTTTCAACAACTTCTTGGCCTTCTCGATCTCGAGCGGGTCAGGATGGCTCGCACCGAAAACCTTCTCCACCTGATTGAAGCAGGAAAGAGATGAGAGAAAAATATGCTGTCAAATGACACGGCAGTTGACAATGTTCCATGAATATCCTGTCAGATGATAGAACAGTTGACGATATGTTCCATGAATTCGTAAAATACATACTTCCTTTATAAGTGTCTCGGTGTGAAGGATCTCGATGTCACCGGCACGCTTCTTGCCGATGCCATTTTGGGAAGGAGGAAACTGTTTCTTAGCCTGATTCTTCATGGTTCCTCTTCCCCTTCCTGCTCCTGGAATGCCACCACCACGGCCTGTTGACCTTTTAACCCCACCCTGGCCAGGCCGATGACTGATACCCGGGTCCCCGCCCTCCCATCGTATATCATCTGGGGAAATCTACAATTAGGACGTGATTCAGGTTAGCCATCAGATAAAAATAAAAGTTGATCCAATGGTTTCTGAGGACAGCATTGCTGATGTGAATGAATTAGTAGGGTTTACTTTTACATGAGAACCATAAATAAACGTCACATGAATCATATGAAAGTCCACTAATCTCCCTCCCGGAAGAAAATCCAGAACAGCTGAACTTAAATACTGAATTTTAGAGATCAGAAAATTCCATTGAGAAACAGTAAATGGCAACAGAGATTCTGATAATCATATGCTAAACTTACCTAACCACAAAAACTGAATAAACGAATAATTTGATACTAGGCATAAAGCCCAAAATATTACATGGGACAGATGGTAGTTGAAAGTATTTTCAGGCATAAGCTGCAAGGAACAAACTTGCCATGAGCATAAGAAACTTTTCACAGTGTAATAATACGTGATTATCACATGTCTATCAGATTATATGATAACAGTCAGTTCACACAAAATGCTTTCATGTGGCTGTACCTGTAAACTATCTTGTAGATAAAAACACAAGCCACATTTAGTTTTTTTTTTTTAAACTTCGATTTAAAAATCTATATTCCCAAAGGTTCTCATACCATACAAATTTGAGGAGAGAAATAAATGAGGCACTTAGCATGTAAGTTAAAGTGCTCTGTTAGCATAAATCAAGACTTCCAAGTTTCTACACCCCAAAGTCCACTCGTGTGTGAAGTATTGTGAAGTATTTTAACTTGAACTCCATCAAGAAACGGTAATGGTAGTTGCACAAAGGTGCATAGACCTATATTGGCTTGCTTTTTGGCATCCTCCTCTACATGACACTATGTCCAGCAGAAAGCCATTTAGTTAAACTGTGCAAACATTTATAACTTGCACTATGGTATGTCCTCCATACCATTAGGTCTGCAAAGATATGCCATCTGAAATCGTTTTCCTGTATCGGTTACCATATCAAGCTTTAAATATCAGGTAGTCTTGGCTATAATGTGTGTTTGAAGTATTTTAAGAACCTCTTAATTCTGTTAATATGGAAGTGCACAACCAACAATGACCATATGATGGGGGAGCAGGGGTACAAGGATAAGAAATGTGCAAGATATGTTACACCAGGAAACAACTAAACACCTACTCCAAGCTTGTATTTCTTTGAGGATGCATGCTATATCGAGTTAACCTAGGAAAATGACCTTCAAGCAACATCAATATTCTGAAAGATCCTTTTATTCTTTTTCTCACAATTCTCGGAACAGCTCTAACTTTAGGTATTAGACAATCTCCAAGATGAAGGCTACCACTAGTTAGTCTATAACACTAGTAACAAAGTACTTTTTGATCTCATGCTCCTGGAAAGCTGTAATGCAGTTTCTTTAAATGGAAAGAATATCTAGATCGCTTCCATAAATAAATCAGTAATACATCCACATTCTGCATTACGAGAATCAAATTTGTGCACGTTTTATTCAACCAAAGTGCAATAGAGCAAATACAAGAGTGGAATGTAAGTTCCACATTCTTTTCTGAAACCCTGATAACCAGCTACCAGTGAGCAGTTAATAGTTCACTCACTAGTAATTAAGTATCAAATAACCATGAGCATCAAAAATGAGAAACAACAAAAAAATGCTTTGAGGGTGTAAGCAATTCAAAGGGAAAGTCACCATACATAACATAAAAGTCCAAATATGATTTCCAATCAGCAATAATTAACTAAACTTTATGAATCAATATTTAACTATAGCAAATTGATGTTCCCTTTCATTGATAAAGTATTGAAAATGGAAATGAAGGAGAATGGAACATTTCATATGCAACCTAACAAGTTTATCACTGGGAGAGACCAAAGTTTTAAGTGCATTGTCAAACAAATAGGTACAGCTATAAGATGGACTTTGTAAGAGACCTATGGAAACAATAAAAGACAAGGATCCTCATAAATTCTAGTGGAACCTTAAAGATAATTCCATCAGAGCAAAAAGCCAGAACAAAAAGAAGTACCAAGAAACACCTTATTGTAGGCCTTTTCTGTCCTAGCTCAGGCATGGTACTAGCAAACTTAAATCATAACCCTCTCCTAATAGTAAAAATTAAGTGTCTTTCTTACCTTCTTTATTTGTTAAAGAAGCAATTCAGTATTTTACAGTATGCCATATGTTAAACCCTTCTCTTTCATCAACTTTTCTGCAGGGTTATGAAGTTCAGTCTGACACTATTTTAGTAGATTGAGACTTCCCAATTAAGGAGCTGGAATCAGTTGATACTTGTTTCTAAATCCAAATTTTATTGGTCACAAAACACCAAAGCCTCCAGAGTCGATGGTTCCTCTCCTAGAAAAATATATAGTGCATATGTAAAAGGGTAGTACCCCTTTGTGTGACCCATGTCTACTGGGAAGACAGCACTAAGGCAGACTGGGAGGCGATTCAATCTTATTCAATACAACATAATGACTTCAAGCCATCACATGGAACCACATCTTTGGAGCACTCACTGTGATTTAATAATCCCACAAGTTTCTACCAATAAAAATAAGCTAAAATAATGTCCATGCAAGGTAAAAAAGAAATACACTATACATTGTTGGCAATAGTCACTGGGCATAACATAGGCAATGTAACTTTGACATAGTAAAAAACAATTAACTTACATCCTTCAAATTGACCCATTCCCATGTCTCATCTTTCGTGTCAATATCATAAACCAGAGCATGAAGACCCTACCAAGTGTTGATAATAAGAAAATTAAAAACAAGCAATGCTACAAAAACAACAAGGAAGAAAGCTGGAGCACTTAACAAACTCACTTCAACTGGATTATAATCAGTAATAACAGCTTCATAAAAGTTATTATCTTCAGGCCACCTAGTCATGACCTTTCGCCCAATTAGCGGATCATATGGTGTCTTTTTGGCTGGATCAATCATAGGAGCACCTGAAGAATTCCTACTTGCCACTTGGCTTCTTCCACTAGGACCTGCAGAAGGATACTGCATAGACTTCATCGAAGATACACCAGGCAACGTCTGAGCCTGCAATTTCGATATAACTTCAATAGAAAACTATTGTGTACATGTCTAAGTAACATACAATTCTAAGAAACAAGTAACTATATGCATTGTCGTAAGCCCAATAACTTACTGATTTAGGTTTTTTTCCCTTGGCTGCTGTTGCAGTTCCCCTTTTTGCAGCTGATGATGATGGCTGCATGGGAGCCACAACAGGTTGTGATTGCAGACCAGGAGATGGTGCATCCAAGGACAACGAAGGTACAGGCTGAGATGTTCTTTGCCTCTTTCGAGAGGCTGAGATGGTGGGACTTGGTACAGGTACATCTGGTTGAACATTATTAAACATCCCAGATTGGAGCCCACCTGCTTGCCTCCATTCCCTAAATAAAAGTAACGATTCAAAATATCATATTATACTGGAAGGGGAAAAAAAAAAAGACAACAATATATCATTGGCCGTGATCCCATAAATCTATTTATTAGCAAACCTTATTCTTCGAATAATGTCATCGGCATTAACCCTGCTTAATAGTTCTCTATGTTCCTCATCCGACACTCTGAGCTCCTTTCTGAGTTCGGTTATTAAACTTTCTTTCTCCTGAAGAAATATGCTCATCGGCAACCAATTAGTAAGCAAAATTTACATGTGAAAAAAGAATAGACTAATACAAAACAGCTATGGTCATTTTATGTGGATAATTACCCAAGTAATGGCATC